TCCAGCTCTGCCGCGCGAGTAAAGAAATTGGGGTATAGCCATTCTTCACATATTAAACCATACCGATGCGGTAACTATCCAATATCAAGGACATATTTTTGTCTTTCTGTGGACGCTCGTCCTTCTAAGTAAGTTGACTGATCCAAACCAATCTTGGCATTGTAATGTAGTAGTCTAAAAGCAAACCAAATTTATATTAAACTTTCCTATATATTGATAAATATTTTATAGAATAAACCCTATATCCTACTGCAGTAGCTATTGTAAATAGCTGAATTTGAACAAAGCTCACACCACAACAATATCCTACAAGTCAAAGATTGTAAATAAACTTTTCAGCATTTTGACGTGTACCCCATAATAACCAAAATATACAGTACTAAAATATCAACTAGAATGCGGAAAGCATCTTGTCTTTGTCGGTGTTTGGTCGTTATGAGCAACCTGGGAGGGTCAGGTTCAATTCAGACCTCTTCCTTTATTACTGTTTATAAACTTCGAAATGCTACGAAGTTATCCAATAAATTAGGTCTTGAACACTGCAAGTATTACTTTGGACAGTTACTTGTAATGGATTGAAACTATTCTCTCTCTCTCTCCAAAACTAAATAGCTCTTAATAATCTATCCGACTGTTTCATTTCAACGTTCCTTACTTCACAGGTCGGATTTGCCCAGAGTGACTAGCACTACCCATTTGACTGATCATTCTCATTCAAACATACTGTAATCTCTAGATATCACCTGACCTATCACAGAAAGATACTGCTATCTACATTCTTGCAATTTATGCGGTGTTACAGCAATATCTTCCATGGGTAGAACAGGTCTGACTTCAATAAAATGACAACGAACGAATGTAGCTAGAACAACGCCAACTTAAAGACTTTCTTGACCACGTGTTGTGAAAACTGCGCATAATCATAATTAAATAACTACTAAATTTAAAATAATACTATATTAATACAAGAAGGCAGAAAACGCATGATATGTTTCTATACCACAATCATACGTAACCACGAAAAGGTTTATTATGGAATATTTTTCAAAGGTTTTTTCAAATATTTTGGCACAGATGTTCTGCATTCCGTTTTGAATCAGATTTACGTAATTATAAACTTGCTTTAATCCCCTCTCTTTGGGCTAAGATTACACATCACAGTGGTCATTCAAGAAAGCCTGTACTGCTTCGCCAAGCTTTTGTATAATCTCTACCCTAGTATTAATCATATCTAAGTGGAGGAGTGGTGTTTCCAACTTCGTATGAACTAAAAGTTAACATCAACTTGAGTATATACTATGGCAATAATAATTCATGTATGTAATCTAGAATAGTAGGTCATCACACTAGGCGTTTGTATTGACTTGAAAGTACGGCAGACACGCAATTTGTTCTGTGTTCATTGAATGAAATACTTCTGACTACATCAGCCACAGAAGTCATTCCATAGCTACCGAAGCACTCCAGCTTTACCAAAATCGCAGCATACTTAATATATGCAAAAAATACTTTTTGCTTTTTTTTATACTTACGTTTGAGTTATCCATTTGTTGTTCGTTTTCATTTTATTCTTTCACAAGCAGACCTTCTCGAACATAACTGTATTATAAACTTGACGTTTCACCTTAGAATACCACAAGTAGTGAAGGTACCTAAACAAGTCAGTAGTTTGAGGGTTAAACCAGAAATATCAAACTTATGTACGATGTTTTACTTACAACCCCTATTCTTCAGCGTTTGAAGGGCAGGCAGTACAAGAGAGAACAAAGAACTAGTTTTTTAGTACTAAAAATTGTTATTGAGAAACCAATAACAAACATTTGAATGGGGTTCTTACTATATTTCTTAATTAGAAAGATACTTAAGTACAAATTGGTGTATTCAGTTGAAAAGTGTTAGTTTTTCAGCAATACGATATTGTACACAACATTCTATTTCTTCGCCAATTCTTGGTTACTGATGAGGTAGTCGTCCTTTATAGCCAGTCAAACCCATAAAATGAGTTTAAATAAAAATATAATCCCAACCTAGTTACTTTTATTTCATCTTAAAATGACAAACACAACACTAGCAAAGCTTATAGTTTTTCCTATAAAAAAAAACAAAATTAATATTGTTGTGCTTTCCAAGTGCAGAATATTACTTCTTACAAACAGTTTTTAATCAACAAAAAATTAATACCAGAAAGCCTCATCATGCACATATACTAATATTACATGATAGAATAGCATAAATTCAACATAATAATTCTATTAAGACAAATAACCACAGACAAATCAAAGCAAGGTCATGAAATTTATTTCACAAGAACTTATATTTATATATATCTATTTACAACAGATTCTAAGTGATGCAACAGTAGCAGTCTCTCAGTCTTTTTGTTTAAAAGACATTTTAATTGACTTCACTTACTATGAGAGCTGAATAATCACAGGACTTTTTTTTTTACAATTAACACAAACTAGAATGCACCTTCTTCAGCAATGTTTACAATCTACAAAATATGTTTGTAGGTTATATTCAGCATCACAACCAGGCAGTAGTGCACTGGAGGAAAATTGTTACATAAAACCTCAAATATATACACACACACACACACACTATTCAAGCTTGGAGTATATGTAGAAAACACTAACCTATGACAGGAAAGGCTGATCTTTTACCTAATTTTTATTCTTCTACCTTTGATCTAGTAATTTCCTAGTATTTTTTCTGTGTTGTCTTAAAAAGTAATATTACAAAATGATATTATTTTTCACTATGCATCTCATACCTTAAAATCTAACTATAGTTAAAAATGTCTACTTAAACCAACTAAACTATAAAGCCACAAACTTTTTGGAAAGAAGACTGTTACACCTTCTAATTTCCCAACCAAATGGTGTGATTAGGTTGTTTTTTCTTTTAACTTACATTTTATAAATTAAATCTGCAGTCCTTCCAAGACATTTAGTATGGGAATAAAGAAATAAAACTGTGATCCTTATTTCTTGGAAACAATAAAATGAATTTTATTAACCAAGGATACAGACACAATTTCCAGACTCTACCTACAATTACCTAATAGAGTAATGGATATTTTTTTAGAAATATTTAATCATTGGTGTGACAAATAAATCTCAAAAAAGTTGTTTTCCTCACTGTGGGAAAATATTACAATTCTAAAATGACTTTTAAAACTTGAAGAGTAAATATTATGTAAATCTAATTCTTTATATTACTATCTAAAAGTACCAAAGTAAATATATAATACGAAAATTTTACAAATAAATAATACCAGAACTTTTTCTTTAAAATAAAAAGAAATAAAACTGATAACAAGAACAATAAAACCTAACATACCAGTGTCCTACAGAACACAAACATGGATTAAGTATAAATAAACATACACTCTTAATCCATTTCAGTTGCTGCATAAATAATAAGGAATATGAGTAACAACTCTTCATTTTAAATCAAGAAATATTTTTACATTTCACATTATGCTCATAGCAAACATATAATTTTCCTTCAGAAAAATATAAAAGTATAGTACATTAACAAAGAAGTCAATATGTTCTAAATCTATAATCAATTTAACAGAATATGTTCCAATATAAATACTTCATGTTTTTTGTATGTATCTATCAAGTGTTTACATATCCTGCATGATTGGTTAGATCACTGAACTACCATAAATAACATGGTAGCCCTTCAGACTTACTTCTCAGTGGAGCTTGCTAGATTGCCACTTTCTCTCTCTGTTTTCACTATAAGTGATTTCCCATTTTTATCCTGAGTAATTCAAAATATTACAAATGCATGATTATTGTCATTATCAAAAATATAAAAGAAATTTTTGAAAAAATCAATGTATCTTGCTAATGCTATTCGGATTTTCACCAACCCCAAAATTCAAGACAAATCTGAACTAACACTAGCACATCTTTTAACTTGTGCTTCATCTGTTTGCCATTCAAAAGTACATCTGTTGCTACACTACCAAACAGCAAAAGCTTACAAGTATTTTAGGACATTACTTTATAAGGGACCACATAAATTACCTCAAAGTGCTAAATATATAGCAGCAAAGGCTAAAATTTTAAAAGTCAAAATTGCAACTTCTAAAAATACACATGACCATTTGGTTCTAAAAAAACATTTCTTTTATAAAACTGAAGCAATATCAATGCAGAGTACCCCATATTGGTCTAATGAGTTAATTACAAAAAGGACAAAATATTATCTTTTGAAGCTGTCAGTTAGAGAAAAGACTGAATATTAGCAAACTGGCAGGAAGAATTCTTAATCTGTTTTATGAGAATATGTACTTATAGAAGAGAAGAGTCAGGAGTAAAAAACATGACATATATCAAGGGAGACAAAGAAATTACCAAGTGAAAAGATACATATCAAAAAATTAAAAACTATAAAGCTATGTATCAAAACTGTTTTAAGAGTTTAGAATTAAACAGTAGATAAATTTGTGGAATAAAAAGTTCAAGCAATGAAACAGAAAACTCTTTGGCAGCTGCAGATTTGATGAAACTTAAGAGCTTTAGAGATTCAAAATTGGGAAAAGGGCCACAGTTTGACGAAAAGCAGTACCACCATGTTCTGGTGACTAATCATCAGCTTCAGTTTCCAATCACCAAATTGTCACAATTTCTTAATTGCTCTTCATCTTCAGATCAGCCATACAAACATGCCAGTTTTGAAAGTTACATCACATTTTGTCCTAACATGCCATACAATGTTTGATAATTTCTCAGTTTTACTACAAGTGTTTTATACTAGAAGACAACCATGTAGTGGTAAAACCATAAAATACTTTTGGCAGAGCAAGGACATGTTAATTTATAGATGACAAATTACAATTTATTCTTAAGAATGATATCCTTAAAATGAATAAATTTCTTATTCTTATGTAGGATTTGAACACAAATGTGACTAATATATGTGGACAGATATAAAGGATTTGAACACAAATATGAATAATATATGTGGACAGATATAAAAGATTTGAACACAAGTGTGAATAATATATGTGGACAGATATAAAGGATTTGAACACAAATGTGAATAATATATGTGGACAGATATAAAAGATTTGAACACAAGTGTGAATAATATATGTGGACAGATATAAAGGATTTGAACACAAATGTGAATAATATATGTGGACAGATATAAAAGATTTGAACATAAATGTGACTTATATATGTGAACAAGTTCTGCAGAGGTCTGAAACTTCTTTTTAACATATTATGATTATTTTTGTACAAATATAATACTGTTGGTTTATTAAGCACCTCAAACTAAGATTTTGGGGTAAACAGCTTGTTCAACATTTTACTGATATTACTATCAATAAAACAGCTGTTAAATTCAAATACAAATTATTTACTTCACATTATATGGAATAATCAGTTATAATCCTGTCAGCATATGTTCCCAAGAACTTTTACAAGATTTAATCTATATGCTGTAGGAAAGTATCAATAAGAGCTCATAACCACAAAAAAAACTTGGTTTATGATAGGCACCAACTTTTAAAACTTTTTTGCTGATTATATATACTAAATTGGCCTATCTTTAAATCGTTCCAGATGTTGAATAACTGAACTGCTAAGATACATTTTGAATAATAGAGATGAAGGGTTAAATGGAATACAACAAGGATTTGACGAAAAGATAAAATATGAATATATGAGACTGAGAGATCGGCTTGCCAACAGAAAGAGGAAAGTTTAAAATACTGGTATTTTTAATTGATTTTTTATTTCACTAAAATATGTTTAACTTTATAAAAGTTTTCTCTCAGGTTGGATTTTACCCACATTTTTTGTGAAGTTACACCTACAATAATTAAATATCTATATGAAAGTTTAGTGAAATCAAGGTTCCCTCCTCTATTTTATTTTTAAAACATCATTTATGACTTCAGAATGTATTTCAGAATACCTGTTTCTCTAAATTATCAAATTTCATAACATTTTAATGAGAAAACCTAGTTCAACTAAAACTTGACTAAGTCCAGGTACACGTAGTTGTGAAATTATAAGATTAACTGGATGATCAGTTATACTTTATAAAATAATTTAGAAAGGAGTACTAATTAGAAATTAGTGTGTCTTTTAGAAAAAAAAAAACTTGACTGATTTGGAAATTTGAAACAAAAGACTTTTCCTGCTTCCAAAAAATTGAAAACACTAGATATTCTGGGATGTGATAGTAAGAAACAACATGTTTTCATAACATATTTAAATAGCCAGCTATAAGTAATCCCAATGACTGGGTTTCTGCAGAACAATTTTTTTTTTGTCTTTTCCATCTGACTGTATCTGTTCACCATATTCTGCCTCCTTACGGAGCTGTTTCCTAACAAATAAGTGTCTCAACAACATATCCTGTACATTTACATTAAATACCTTTCATTGATATTTACAAACAAGAACTGTCTGTCCATGTTTAAGTACAAGTTATGTGGAAGAACTCTGATGTTGTGGGTGAACTGGTAGAGAAGCCTGTTGGTGAGGTGTAACTCCTACACTGGATGTTAAAGCATGGTGAGACTTAGAGGTAACATTAGAACCAGGCTGGGAGAGTTTACTTAGAGTTTCTTGAGAAGCATTAGCTTTTAATATTCCATTTTCATATTCAAGTTGGGAAATCTTTTCCAGAAGTTCTCCAATCTTCTCTTTCAGTACATCTACTTCTTCTCTCACAGCAAACATCAAGTGACTCTTCACAAGGTCCTAAAATTTAAGTACAATTAGTTGTTGTCAATATAGAAATAACACAATTCTTAGTACAGACAAAAGAGAGAGACGTGATAACCTTGTATTTCAAAGAGTGACCTAGATTACAGTTTTAAAAATTCTTGCTATCTTCTAAAACAGATAGTTAGGTTCCAGGGGCTTGGGAACTATTTAAATTCCTCGAAGAGGGTATAGAGATATGCTTTATTATTTTAAAAAACAAAAACAAATTAAAGATTTAATAGTTGAAAACTCTTACAGACACTGTTGTTTTTTACCCACCAATGTGAGGTCTCAATCAGTTGCTTGTCTTGCTTACTCTTAAGGCTGACATTGATTTTGGAACCAAGTGTTTAAAGCAACGTAAAGCTGTTGCTTTGATTTTCAAGAAGAAAACAATGTTTCTTAAGTTAACAAGTAAGTCAATGCTAGTTTAAGTCTTTCTTTTAAAGATTACATCATAATTAACAGACTGGCAGTTGGTAAAATCAACATAACATCAAGTATCTTTTATTCTATATTTGTTAATGTTCTTTTTCTATTTCCATATTTACTAAAACTTCTAATTCTATAAGATCATCTACTTAGAAAATAAAAATGATTAAAATCCTGAACACATTCCCTAAGTCTGCAAATCTTAAAACTACAACACAAGTTTGTATTATTTAATTTGTAAGCAAATCAGGAATCTAATTTTTAAATACCTGAAGCACTTCTTACTATCAATACAATAATTATTTAAAATTTTGTAACATATAGCGTTACTGAAGATATTTAGGTTATTTTAACTGTACAGGGGGAAGGAAATATTCTCCTGCTGAAGTTCTTTAAAGCAACAGCACAACAACAACAGTTACTAGGTGCTTTCACTGCCTTATTCTGCAGTGCTACAAGAAGAACATTTGTACAGAATATTTTTTATGCTAATACATCTAAAACTAAATCATAGTTCACTAACCTGTGGGGGGTTTTCCAATTATTTGTCTGAATCTTATTAAATTTTTTGACTTAAAATAGACCAGCATGCATCTTTAAAAAAAGTAAATTAGTTACTGTTGTGTCTTAAATGGATTTTATAATATGAAAAGATGTAGATGGAGATTTACCATGGCTTGTTCGATCTTACTGTCTATGGCTACAGTGCTAGATCCTGTTGATGAGCTAGAAAGAGACAAATTTGAAAGTCATTACATTATTCCTATTGATCAAACATATAAAAAAAGTTGTGCTCAGAAAGAAAATTTAATTCTCAAAGAAATGACTACAAACTTTTCCATCTAAGTAAATCATGAAATGTTTTACAACACAATATGTTGAAAAGTTGATTAATTACATACAAATTAAAAACAAAATTATACAACTACAAACATAATGTGTAGCATAAGAACACGTTAAAGGCAACACTGGTGGGTAAGATTTGAATGTATATGTGTGTGTGTGTGTGTCTGCATGAGCATGGGAAAGTGTCTTAACGAAATATTATACTACTAGCAACAACTTTTGTGACATTTCAAGGAAACTAAACTTTTCCACAAATACAAAATGTAACAGGCTTTAATGTCATAAATTAAGAAGCCACCAATAAAGTTAGATTTCATACCAGAACCCTTTGTCTCCAATATATATTGATCCTTATAATATATTTACCTTCACAAAACACAAACACGGTCTTAACAACAAAATTTAAGTCATATTTGAAAGAGCTGATACAAAAGAGTATAGTGGCAACATATGGAGAAGAGTTAGCCATTTAACAGAAAACTAAAAATCAAATTATTTATTTAAATATAACTTTCCATTTTTGGCACATTACCAACAAATCCAATCTAGCATGTTATGGAAATTCTAAAGAAATTGCTCTTCAAAAATATTACCCTTTCAGAGTATGTATTTATCTCATTTTTTCCAGTTCTAAACAAATAACAGAGGCCTGTGATGGTTTTATCATCTTGAAACTTTTACATGTTCTACAGTAATTCCTGTACACTGAATTCGAAAATGATATCCATTTTTCTCCATCACGTACATATTTTTCATAAAACGTCATACATACTTTTACATAAGTGATTCATTTTCATTGAAATCTGGACACATTTTGTTATGCTTAAAATGTTGACAACTACTGGCTGTAGATTTCTCTAGACCAAGCACAATGTGAGAGTCTTATCGATCATTCTAGAAACACACCGCTAGAATACAAACTGTTAACAGGCCGCATGACACGACATATCTGGATAGTATTTGTTTGTGCATGCACTTTGACATTATTTTTCTCTTTTCAATAATATATTTTGTTGCTATGGCAACAAGAGATTGTGTCAATGACCCAAACATATTCATTTTAGTGGTACACAAATTATGAGAAAGAGTTTATACCATACTTTTCGCAAGAAAGTTCACTGGTTTATTGCAACAATATTGCTGAATTATTAACAATGCTAGGAGCTGTAGTCCATGAACTAAGTGAGTGGCAATTGTTCACTGATTCCTCCAAAAGAACTCTATGCATCTGTTCCTATTGCTCATTCGGTTCACTTGAAGGAAACGTACAAAAATCTCAAACTTCTTCTTAATAAGTTCAAATACAAAGAATATGGTTAGCTACTTTGTGGAGACTTAAAGTCCTTTGTATTTTGTTGGGTCAACAATCCGGTTATACAGAGTTCCATGTTTTTTATGTGATGGGACAGCAGAGCACATAATCAGCACTTGATAAAGAAGCAATGGCCATGCAGAGTCAGCCTGAAACCAGGATCGAAAAACACTGAATGTGAAAGTTTGGTTGACACAAATAAAGTCCTATTTCCTCCACGTCACA